CTGGGCCGCCGGTGTTTATCATATAGGGTTGTTCATCTAAATGTAAGCCTTGCATTTTTTCGTTTTTATACCAGCATCTAGGAATAAGAGTTACATAAAAAAATACTGTGTTATTAATAGCAAAAACATGCCAAAAATGTCGACAAACCAAATCACTATTAATAAGTAGCATGCATGTGTATAAATACGAACGATCAGTGAGAATAATGACGAAGTTAATATGGACACAATGGCATCGTTGGACTTTATGTATCTTGATAATGTCATTTTGAGGAGGCCCTCCAGAAGAGAGCTTAGGTAAATTTGTTATGTATCATACCCTTTCTCAATAAGTTTGTCATTAGGTAATTTATCGTTTTCCATTATTGTATAATAATAGAGTGATTGTATGACTTCATGTCTTTGCCGGGAAAGCATTTCTTCAGTAAGATATTCTTTGAGAATACGATCAATTTCAGGAAAACATTTGGCAGAAGCACCACTCAACTGTGCACTTGCATTAGCATGGTACCACTCATTATAATTAACATATCGTGCTTCATCACATAGCCACAGATCTAAAATGGTAACGAGTTCGCAAAGACCGGGACGGCCTTGAAGAATATTTTTTATTACTGAGTTTTCGCTTTCAACACGTGATGTCGATGAAATGCCAGCTGTGAAGAATTTGGTTGTATATGCCTTAGCCCATTTTTCTTTGCTAGGATAAAGCTCGGAATTAAGGTAATCAGCTGTTTTGGGGTACGTTGCAATAAGTTTATGCCATTGAGCTTCAAATCCAGTAAGAGAAAGATCATTTCGACACAAATAAAAATCTTTCGAGAAATCATTATAGTTACTACCGAGGGAAGCTTTAAGGTTGCATATAAGATTTTGAGAGATATGATAGATACAATGAAGTGGATATGTGTTGCAATATTGACTATCTATAGCGGTATCCATTCCAGGGTCAGCGTCAGTAACGAAAACTCGCGGAGCATAGTTTGTAGCCTATATAGTAGAGGTGAGGAGCCACTCGTACGTTTTTTTAGTTTCATCATTTACCAAAGCTGTGCAACGAGACGACTGTGAAAATAGTTGTCGACTGCCATAAATAGAGAAAGCGGCATGTTAAATTGGTTGGTTTTATGTGTGTTATTGTTCAATATAACATCATGATATGTAATCCACAACTGAATTTGTTCTGGCGACATCCAAAATATTTTATCTAGGCTATTTGTTTCATGGTGGAACTCCCAAAATACTTTCCATCCCAGTTCCTCAGATTTTTTGGTAAGTAGTTGTTTTAGAAGCTTAGATGCATTATTTTCTTCCCGGTTTGCTACTTTATATTTTTGTATTAAATTTTGTAGGTCGCACGGATGAATCGTAATGTTTGGAAATTTAATAGACAGAAGTCGGCGCTGAACTGTTGCATTAAGGTTTCCTTCAACTGTGTAAAAGCAAATTTCTCGTACAACGGCTTCAGGTAAGGTTCGATTTTTTGCGACATATAAATTAGTCGTAGGATTGAGTAGGTAATTGTGGTCAAGATTTAATGATTTCACACTAATAATTGCAGCTTTCTTTGGAAAGGTTACATTAACGTGCCAAGAACAGCCAGACCGTTTCGATCTACTATTTCGTTGATTTTCTAGGATTACAGACTTCTTAGGTCCATAAGTGCCCTGATGATCACATGCGAAAGTACGTTGCCTACAAGTCTGCTCTGGTGGGAGGTCCCGATCATTTCTAATTTTAATAACTACAAAATTTTTTTGCCAGGTGTAATCATTAAAATATTTATCTACATCATCCCACGTTTCAAAGACTTGTCCAACAAAAGGTAACATCATGATTTGTTGTGGAGAGAAAGAACTAAAGCTTAATAAAGAGAGAAAAGAGGATCTGAGCTAATACCAGACTCATTAAAAAAAGTTTTTTTTAAGAGTATAGTACTTCGTGGTCAAGTTTTCCAAATATATAATTTTGCCATTATCAGGCTGTATTATTTCGTCGCAGGGCTGAATTCCGTTATCATTATCATTACTAGACTGCGGTGTTTTGTCATTATCGTAATTCATTATAATCATCATTAATGATAGTAAAAAAAAATTTTGTCGCGTCACTATGATATAATTAACGGTAGTCATATAATCATATGTGATCACGTGATCGGTTACAGTCACCACCGGTTACAAATACATTTTTTCTTTATTTTAACTATTAATATAAAGATTATTTCAATGAATTAAAATCTAAATTTCTTATAATTGCTATTATATTTACTTTTTATTATTTATAATTAGCCAAACTATTTAATTTTCATTAAAACAAAAATATTTAAAAATATTTTTAGAAAAGTATTTCTTAAACTTTATATTTGAAAACTTCTAATCAAAAAATATATTAGTTTTCTATTGTTAATTTTTTTTTTAAGTTATATTTTTTGAAATTATTGTTTATTTAATTAATAAATAGTTTTAAAATTTTCTTTTTTAATTATTTTTTTTAAAATAAATATTATTGTTTTAACTTGTTATTAGATTGAAATAAGATTTAAATTCAATATTTATTTTAAAAAAAAGAAAAAACAAAGAAAAAACAAAAAAGAATTATTATTTTTTACTTATAATTTCAATCTTACTTAATACTTCTATATTATTTTTTTAATTAAAAACTGATTAACTTTTTAAAAATTAATTATATTATCAGTTTAATATTGTATAATTGAAAACATATAGAAGAATATGTCTTGTTTATTTTTTTTGTAACTAATATAATTAGTCAATTTGTAATCTTAATCAATTATTTTTCAAAAAATTCTATATAATTAAAAATTCAGGATCAAATTAAAATAAATAAAATTCTTTAAAAAAAAAAAACTAAAAAACTAAAAAAAATAACAAAAAAACTAAAAACAAGTAAACAAATAATAGTTACTATTTGTTTTATTAATTAAAAAATCAGTATTGTTAAAAAATATATATTTTTTTTATTATTATAAAAATAAAAAATATTTTAAAAATATTTGTTATTTAGTTGATAAATAAATTAACAAAAAAAATATTTTTATTTAAAAACAATATACGTATATAAAATTAAATATTATTAAATAATTATACAATCCTATTTAAAATCTTTTTTAAAAATTTTTATAAAAAAAAAATAAATTTTTATTTTATTAATATAAATACAAGAATATAAATTATATTTAATAATTAAAATAATATTTAATTAAATTATTGATATTATTAATAATATTATTATTATAATAATTACAATATATTAAAAATGGTTGATTGCATAACCCTATAAAATATAATCCTCCATATATGTTGCTAGATTAAATTAGGCAAGATAAAGCTGGATTCGATCCCTAAACAAATTTGGTATGCTGATATATCCTTATCCTCCAATAATACCTCACTAATTAAATCTCAGTAAGTCTTGACTAAACTGAACAGTTGAAAAATGGTAGTGATGGCTACTAACAAAGATCATTAAGTCAATAGAATAAATCAGTTTGTTTAAAATGTAACAAACTTACTTACCTCCAATATTTATACTTAAAGGTTTAGGCCTAAAACGAATAGTTAGAAACTTCTATAAAGCATCCATACACCTCAAAGAAATACTAGGAGGCATGAAAAAGAATGATAATGAATTCTTGAGTTGACTGCAGATAAAAAAAAAAAAATTACAATATATTAAAATTTTATAAACTATATTTAATAAAATTATATATAGAGTTCCGATCGGTATTGGTAAATATCATTACTGATTTATCGGTTTCGGTATCGGTATTAATTTTTAAGATTAAATACTGAATTAAAATTTTCGGTAAAATACCAATCGGTTTCGGTACTTTTTAAAAGTACCGATCGGTAAAGTATTGATTAATAAAATATCAATTAGTTTTGATATTTTCTAAAAGTAACAATAAATATTAAGTAATGATTTTCAATAGAAGTTATACCAAATTATTAATATATAAATGTATCGTAAAGAAAATTATTTTATTGTCATTAACTACTGTATTTTTTTAAAATGGAAGAATTCAATACTTACATTGAGTTTTCGAAAGAATCCACTTTTACAAATTTTGAATATGAAGAACTTCAAAATAGTTTTGATAGTAATGAAATATTAGATACTGAAATAGCTAATACTTCAACAAATAGCAGTATTAAAAAATATCGAAGCTGGGTCTGGACCCATTTTACTTTTAATGAAAATTTACAAAAACCCCAATACAATTATTGCAATCAATTTATTATATCAAATAAAGGCAGTACTATTGGTATGGCCAAATATATTGAAAATAAATATTCTTTATGACTTGAAAAAAATAAACAACAATTAACATTAAAAGAAACAGTACAAAATAAATTAGTTCTGGTAAGTTATATTAAATATTTTATTTAATTTCAAATTAAAAAATATTAATTTTATTTTTAGACATATAGTGCAGAAA